TTGCGCCGTCAGGGGGTTGCGTGGCCCTGGGTTGTTTTTTCCATCCTCCGTATGGCCACCTTGGAGTCTGTTACCACCATGACCTCCGTTTCGTCTGATCTGAGCGCCTCGGCGATGGCCAGTAACTCTGCGTCATTGAGCGTGGCTTTAGTTCCCAGGTAGATTGCGGTCTTCTCTGTGCTGCTCAATAAAAAAAGTCTAGATAGTTACCCGAAAATATTGAAAAGTTCATATTAAATCCGTGTCCAAGTAACCTGAAGGTGGCCCCTGAATAGCCTCGTAACCAGCCCTCCTGCCCCTGAAATTGCTTGAACGGCCTGAATGGCCTGACGGCCTGGGCAGTCTGGACGGTCTGAAACCGCCCAGGCCGGCCTGGGCCATCTGGAACCTTGGCCTGGCCGGCCTGGGCTGTTACAGGCCTGCCAGGCCAGGCCGCCAAGCCAGCCAGTCCCGGCTGCCTGGTCGGCAGTCTGGCCGGTTGGGTTCATGTTGCCATCCCTCGCGCCGTCGCGGCAGACCTGTCATACTTGTCAACTTGAGCTCATGTTGCCATATCTTGCACTGTGGAGAGGGGCCTCCCATACCTATCCAATTGAGCTTATTCTGCCATATCCCACGCCGTCCAGAGGGGCCTGCCATATCCCACGCCGTCCAGAGGGGCCTGCCATACCTGGCAATAGAACTCATTCTGCAGCATCTTGCGCAGCTGAGGAAGACCTACCCCTTTGTCTGACCAGTTGAGTCAGTGTCCTGACTCCTGAATTCAACGTAGGATAGCAGTTGGCGGCTGAAGTGGCCCGAGCGACCTCAGCAGCACCCAATTTAGCGTCCCAACGAGGTTCCTAAGCGAGCCAATGTGTAGCCCAACCCCACCTTCTGGAGCCCCTTTTGCAATTGAGTTTTTTTTTTTTTTTTTTTATCATTTATCGTTGCAATTGAGTTAATTTACCGACCTCATGCCATTGGGCATATTCAGCATGGCGAGTATGTTGACCGCCTACATTCTGGTAGGCGGCGGCACCTAACTGCTATAACCACGCTGGCGCTGGGCTCAAGGAAGTCGCAGGTCACGAGGGTTGTATAGTAAGCGAATACTGGGAATGAGGGTAAGGTTGGAAGGAAGTGTGATTAGGAATGGATATTTGGTCAGCCAGTGGTATAAGAGGCGGTGATTCTGCACAGCTCTTCGTTCTCAACATCCAGTTCTTTCCTACACATCTAGTTCTTCTATTCTACGATTTAGTTCTTTATTCCTGTCTTCAGATCTTTACTGTCGCTGTGGGGACGCTGACATAATGAGGATGTGCGCATAAGAGAGGGAAGCTTGGCATGCGGTGGCACGTGATGGGATGTATGGGTTATATATTTGTATGGTTACGGAGCGTTAGCTAGTAATCATCAATCAATCAAGCAATCTTCTCTCGCACCCGCTCGCACTATCAGTTGTACGTTCGTTCCGCCAGCTCTCACTCTCCCGGTCTCTCACAGGCGGTAGTGATCTATACTATCTGTCCTCTTACATCGCCTATTCTTTATGTAGCTTGCCTTCATGTTCTTACTGATCACCTTGTACTATATTTAATACATACAAACATCAGTTCTCGCCTTGCTTGTACATTCGTGCTTGCACATACACTCAACACGGCACCATACAGTACAACCCGAAGTATCCCTTTTGAGGCGAAATCCCCAGTGACCTCCCAGCAGAGGACCCTTGGCTGGTGAGCAATGGTCGGCCGTACCTCCTGACCCGCTCATAACATGAAATATGCGGCATATTGAGCGAAGTGAGCATATTGGATACGCGCATGGGCTTTTTGGAATATTGAGCATATTGGGCGCGCGCATGAGATATTGGAAATATGAGCATATTTGATGTGACAAAGTCAAAATGCCAGAAATAGGTAGGGTGCCGGCGTCGCAGGATAATGAGGTCAGAAATGCATGGGGCGAAAGGGGCGATCAGGGCATAAACTATGCGTTGCGACACTCGGTGGGGCTTTGTGACGCGACTTATTTTTTGCTGATGCAGGCACTTTGGTATATTAGCCAGCAGGCCAGCCAGTGTTATTCCGGATCCGTTCTATGTAAGCACTCCTATACAGTCTTGCATCAGGCGCTAGAAATTACCTTGCTTCATTTAATGCAAGTTGCGAGATGTAATATACTAACTCATTGGGGTGATTAGCACCACACTAGTATGGATTGATCGACCCCGTAGAGATTGGTGTATTCAGTAATGACTTAGCGGGTACAGTAGGTGAGCACTGTGGCGGTGGCCTAGGGAGCGGCAGGGCGAGAGTCCTGTCCACCCCCCCCCCCCAACCTACATTATACTTAAAATGTTCTTTCTTAAGATTTCCGACCCTTGAGAGAATTTTTTTTTTTTTTATTTCATTACTCGCATGCCGCCTGAAAGGCTATGGCGAGGTTTGTATATTGACTAAAAGAAAACTGACTAATTACATGTGGGAGAGGTGAGCCGAGCCTGCCTTACTTCCTTCCTCTGTCCGGCTCGTACACCTCCGTTCGCAACCATTTTCCCCCCAATTTGACCTTCCCGATCTCTACCTTTGTCTTTGTGTACAGTACCACCGAGCTTGTCTTCTTTCCCTCCTCTTCTAGGGTGGTCTTCTTCCGTAACCATCTAATGCCCGTGGTTTGTCCTATTTCCTTATTGTCAGTCTCCAGCCACTTCCTGGCCTTCTCCAAGTCCCTCCTGAGGGGGACACCGTGTACTACGATGCCATTGATGTTTCGGGTGGTTGGAGGTTGCCGGCTGGTGCGCGATGTTGTTGTCTGGGGGGGGGGATGGCCGGGATCGGGTGTCGTTGACGGGGTTGGTCCGGGCTTCGTGGTTTGCGGTGTGGGTGTGGAAGGGGAGGCGGCGATCTTCTTGACTTTCCTGCCTCTCTTCTTCCTCTTTGGGGGAGTCGACGTTGGAGTCGACCTCCTGGTTGCTGTCGTATCGGGACCGGGGTCCTCCGATATCGACGTGTAGTGGTGGAGCCCGAGGGTTTCTGGTTCGGGTTCCATTGGCTCCGTGTCCACGTGAGTCACGTGGCTGAGCCTCAACGTCGATGGTGGTGGTGGGGGTGCAGGCGCCGTGTCTATAAACGTGATGGGGCTGAGCCCCAGTGGCTGTGGTGGCGGCGGCGGTGGCGTGGGCGATGGTGGCGGGGGGAGGCGGATTTCCGGCCACATCTCTGGGCCCCACACGATCTCCATGACCGCTCCGGGTGTTGGCTCAAGGGCCGCGTTGCCGGCTTCTTGTGTCGCATGTTTCCAGAGTGACTTGGCTATAACATGTTCCCAGTCGTAGCCTTTCGTGTATAGTTCGAGCGACAGGTCCGTCCGCCAGTGTCTCACCGGGGGGGGTGGAGGAGGGGCTGGGGCAGTTTCTCGTCGTGGGGGAGGAGGGGGATGTCCTCGGTTGCGCCCTTTTGGTGGCATTCCTATTGGCCGGCGGAAGGGGACTTGGGTCTTCCGATTGGAGCTTGGCGCGGGCGGGTGTTGGCAACGATGGTGGTGAGCTGAAGAATCCTCGAAATTTCGCCCCTGGGGGGAAATTTGCAGTGTCGGGTATTTAGGAAAGAAAATTAGATCAAAGGACTCAGCTCGCTGAGAGCTTTCGATCTATGTAGGTTTCAGCGGGCAGGACGTTGTGGTTATGGAGTCGCTTCCAAACGCTCGTCCTGTCGGTGTTGTTGTCGGTGACCCTTGAGAGAAAGAGAACCCTCCCACAGCTGTCAGCACTTGCTTAAACCTCTGCAGTATGCCATATGGTTGTGCAAGGATGAATATATTTCAACCTTACTTTCTCACCTTCACTTCTTGATGCTCACGTGCACCTGAGATCACCATTGCCTGCAAGGTCCTAGGTGAGTAATAAGAGAAACAAAAAATGTAAAAGATTTATTAAGATAATATAAGAACAATCTCGGCCTGAGTAAACCATCAACGCTAACAAGTCTGCAGTCGCCCAGGCTTATAAGCTGGTACTTTTTGTTTTTTGTTTCCATTACTCCCATCTGCAGTTTTGACATACAGTGCTTGTCGTATACGGCTTTTATATGTGTGAATTCTATAGAAATCCCGAATCCGTCATACCCACTCACTGCGGTAAGTTGCGCACTTAGACAGTGCGCTATACCATGTATGCGCTCACAGAGTCTGCTACATGATGGAATTAGAACCCACATGGCGATAACTTGTGGCTGGCGCCTTTTATTACAATATCATTAATCGCTTGCCGCCCTGTGGGCTATGGCGATTTGGAATTACAAGGCAGACAGCGGAGACTCTGTTACAGATCACTTCATAGTCCAAGATGAGATTCCAGAGAACTCAATGCATCGCACCTAACACAAAGACAGTGTTGTACCACTGCATGGCGAAAGAGATGGCCCAGAAAAGAAAAGAAAAAAGAAAAAAGAACATAGAAACACCAATGCGAGAAAAGCCCCTGCAGAGTGAATCGTTACAGCGCAAATCAGTGTCATTTGTGGAAAATTTCTTCTCAGAGAGGAGATTGATCTAGATGAAATGGTGCATGTGTTGTGTGTAACTATCAGGCGTGGCTGGAACGACTACATACAAGTTATACCCGAAGCGCTTACTTAAGCGCATTTTAATACATGCATACCTGAAGGACCTTCTCCATCCTGCAATGCAGAGCCGACTGCCGTATCTTATCTCTATGTCCTTCAAGTCTATCTCGGGGCGCACTTCCCTTGCTACAAAATTTGTGTTCATATATGGATGAAACTATGTGGCTGGGCATTAATGCCACCATAGTGGCTATCAGCAAAATGTTTCCTCATAAATTATCTACGGACTGCTAAATTGCCATAGCCCACAGGGCGGCACGCGATCACTGATGTAGAAAGAAAAAAAAGGACAGATAAATCCATGCCCTAGAAAGAACTTCGCTAGGTGGATGACCTTCCAGGAGAGTAGCGTCTGATAAGGATGTTTTTCTTTAGTGTCAGATAATAAAATCTTTGGTAGTATAGTGGTTAGTATTCCCGCCTGTCACTTACTCTGCTCGCGGGCGACCGGGGTTCAATTCCCCGCCAAAGAGATACTTTTTTTTTCCCCTCATCATTTCTTGGCAAACGGAGTGAATTCAGGCATATTCGGGAATTGGAAACGAGTTATGAGTGTTGAGATGGGCCCATGCAGAGCATAAGATTTACGCCAATGTTGGCATCTTGGCGTCCGTGCATACAGCGGCAGTTCCTGTTGAAGAATATGCAGCGCTGAAGTGAAACATCATGCACAGTTGTTAGGTGTGCTGAACATATGCAACCCGAGCTGTGGCCATGATGCAGACTAACGTGTCATGATTCTATGGTCTTCCATTTCCTATATCGATGGGCCGTTTTGGGACGCATATTTGGGGTCATTCTGCTGTATCCCACCGCATTTTAACTCGTAATCTGTAGTTTAACAACAGTTCCAAATGGGAGGTACTGCGTATGCCAAGCATTCAAGAAGACACAATGCGAGGTACACCACGTTCTCAAACCAAAACTGCTCGGTACCTTTTTTTTTTTTTTTTTTTTTTTTTTTTTTATATATATCATTACTCGCTTGACCCCCGTGGGCTATGGCGAGGTTGCTCGATACATCAATGGAAAGGCTCGTTGTACCATTACTCAACCACACTATATTTCAGAGCAAATCTCCCCACCGCACAGCAGACACCGACAAGGAGGAGTGGGACAGCATCATAGCCAACGCCCAGGATGACGGCTGGAACGCCTATTACACAGACGGAAGCCGGATAGACAACACCACCGGCGCAGGCACATACGGCAACGGACGCCCGAAACCCCTCTACCTAGGCGAACAGACTACAGTCAACGATGCGGAGCTCATGGCCTTTGGCGAAGCATTGGATGACCAGGAGGGAGAATTACTAATTATAACCGACTCCAAGGTGGCGATCTCCAAACTGCAGAAAATAGCCGCCGGTGAACCCACTTACGAGGGCGCGTCAAAGAAAGCCCCCAAAGCGCAGGGAAGGAGAAGGCGACCCACTACAGGGGTTGATGGAGATGATGGAAGAGAACGGAGGAATCTAGTTACATTTCAGTTTGACAGTATTTCATTCTCTTTATTTCATTTTGCTCCTATCTATTACATGTACCTAACACATCGCCATAGCCCACAGGGCGGTAAGCGATTAATGATATTAAAAAAAAGAGGGCGCGTCACAGCTAGTACGAGAAAAATGGGAGGCGAGATACAAAAGAGGCGACCTAGACGTCGCGATAATGTGGGTCAAAAGCCACGAAGGACTCAAGGGCAACATGGATGCGGACAGAGCCGCCAAGATAGGCGCCTCCGTCCAGTGCCGGGATGAGACGATCATGGAAGCCGGGATAAAACACCTTAGCAGGACCTGGAGAGCCAACGAAAGAAAACGACTAGGCCTCAGTTACAGACCATTAACACGACTGGGGAGGAGAGTAGCCATCCTCGCGGGCATACTGGGGGGCAAGGGACTGAGACGGTGGAAAGGCAGACCCGGTGTGTAGGTGGTGCGGGGAGGCGGATGAGACCACGAGACACTTACTGGAGGAGTGCAGAGTGTGGCAAAGGAGATGGCCGGGGGGCATGGAGACAATACGTCAGCCCCCAAAACCAGGGGAAGGGGAGGGCGACCCGTTGCAAGGGCTGATGGAGATGCTGGGAGAAGACGGAGCGAGGACGTGAACTATGTGCCTTTTTCTTTTCATTTTCTGTCCATTTGCAATTAACATAACACCTCGCCATAGCCTGACAGGCGGTAAGCGAGTAATGATATAAAAAAAAAAAAAAAAAAAAAAAAAAAAAGACGGTGGAAATACAACATCAGCGAAGCAGATAGCCCGGAATGCCGATGGTGCGGGGAGGAGGAGGAAACCACCGCGCACGTGCTCACCAGGTGCAAGATGTGGAAGGAAAAATGGCCGGGGGGGGAGCGCTGATTTGATCGAACCACCGAATAGCAAGGACAAGGATACACTGGCAGAAATTTTGGATTGGGCCGGCCAGCCCTAAAGAACAAGGACAAGGTTAGATTTACGGAGGCTTACTTACTTATTTTCCTATTATTTATACGACTTAGTTTCCTATCTATTAATGACCACATATGTACGGGGATGACGAACCACTTTTTAACTAGTTTTTCCTTATATGTATTTAACATCGCCATAGCCCCAAGGGCGGCACGCGGTTAATGATATATAAAAAAAAAAAAGTCAGAGCAAATAGAAGTGTAGATCGCGAAGAATAGCCCTTTATTCCACTCCCTACAAAGCTGTTTCATACAACTCTCAGTCGTGGTTGTTGGTGTATCGGGTAACGAAGGTGTTCACATTCGGAGAAAATGATGTGTCGGGCTGTGGTGTACGTCGCGCCTACTGTTGTCTCGTAACCAGACCGTCGCGTCGTCCGCATATAATTTTAGATGGGGCGCGCAGCACCCACCAGGATTGCAGCCCTTGAAATTGACCCGTGCGACCCGCACAAAAGTACAACAAATGACAGCGAGATTGTGACTGAGGGATCTACTGTCACCTTTCCTTCCTTGCTCCCGCTGAAGTCTGGTGCGCTGAAGAAAGCAGTAGTTTATGGAGTACTATCCACGTTAGCTCCGTGTTGTCAACAACGCTGTCATTGTAGCATGCGACGTAATAATACTTCAACAAAAAAAAAAAAAGAAAAAGAAAAAAAAGAAAAAAAAAAAAAAAAAAAAAAAAATAGGATTTAGCAATATCGGAACCCCCCCCCATGCCCCTTGTCCACGACACCCAAACATTCTAATTTCTTTTTATGCGCTCCCGGCTTCATTTATGTAAATCAAATTAATCGCAAGCTACGTACATAACTGCACCCACCTAGTCCCAGCACCAGTCCATGCACACTAACCCATTATTGACCACACCGGAATGATCGGCGCTAGTATGATAGTCTAGTTCGAGCGATCGATTAGCGTACGCTAGCCAGGGATCCAGAGTTTACTGGGGTGGGGAAACCGCTTTTGCAAGGTACACAACCTTATTTCGACCTCTGCATTCTCAACCTCACATCTTGGCGTCTTCGCGTGTACGGGGGGGGGGATAGCGTTTTCGCGTGTATGGGAATGTGTATGTGGTACGAGAGGGGGTTTGGACGGGTAAAGTACACAAAAAAGTGAAAATAAGAATTAAACATTAAAATTAGAACAGTGAAAAAAAAAAAAAAAACGGGAAGACGCGCGTCAGTCGCACGGTTCCAAAACTGTGCTAACCTCCGCCCCCCCCCCCACACACACACACAACTTCTAGTATGGTAATTGTTTATTTTCTTTATTTTATTTTTGTATTTTATTTTTATTTTTCTTTTTCCTTCTCTTTTATTTTCCCCCCCCCCATTATTTTATCTACATCCCACACGTCCGCAGTGTTCATGCACTCCTCGCCATAGCCTACAAAAAAAAAAAAAAAAAAAAAAAAAAAAAAAGTGTTCATGCACGCGCTAAAAAAAAGAATCCGTTGTACCCACCCACTACACCACGGGTGCGTTGCTAGCTTCGCAAGGTTCCTGGGGTTAGTGCCGCCACCTCGGTCTACCCGCGGGCGACCTTACCTATTTCAGCAAAGCACCAAACTCAATTTGGTTTAATTAGCCACCGACCGAGTCCAAATCGGGGATAGTACACAAACCTCCCTGCAAGCGCAATAAAATATAGTACCTATCATATCTGGCAAGTCACATAACGTTGCGTGAATCCAAGCGTCTCCGCCAAGAAAAACCTATGCAACACGCTTACACACTTAACCAATCCACCACACCCATGACCTCCGAACCTCCACCGCCTTGCTCAATTCCCCCCACATCCCACCCACCACCTCCGAACATGCACGGAAACCACTTCCGCACCTTACCTTCACGTTCCAAAATTCCTAAACCGGGCAATATACCCCTGTTTGGAAAGGACAGACACTTAGAGGTCCAGCGTCATATCCTGGGCCTTGGAGCCATAAAGATAGATGGCGATCAACACAATCGTGCCTGGAGGAGACAACTAAAGTAAAAAAGAAGCAAGAAAGCCAAAGTCGCGACCCCCCTACCTAGGCCCACTAACACAAGACACACATACCATGTCTGTGTTTATATATAAAACCAAGGCCTGAACAAAGATAAAGTACAAGTACTTGAGATGAAATACATCTCCCTCTTCTCCTAAACCATACATTACATAACCTCCCCCCCCCCCCCCTCCAGCCCCCGCTAAGCTCCCGAAACCCCTCCCCACTAGAGTTTCCCCCTCCAACGCAAAAAAAAAAAAAAAAAAAAAACATAAAAACCACTTCCAGCGCGCAACGTGGAAAGAAATACACACCCTAGCCTGCCCTGGGGTATACGCATAACTAACCTGTACTTAACGCTACTGCACACACCACAACTGGCCCCACTAACACAAAACACAAAACACAAAACACACCAACTCTGCCTGTAGATCCAAACACCAAAGTCCCCGAATAAAGACAAAAACTATAAATCACATTTCCCTCTCTTCCCTAACCCACACACTCCACAACCCCCCTCTCCCACTCGACCCCCCCCCCCCTTCACAAAAAAACAATCAAAAAGAACCTCCCATCCCTACCCCATCCTACACGCACACCCTCCTTATACTAACTCGTACTCTCACATACCCCCAGCCCCCCTACCTCGCCCCACAAACACAAACACAAACACACCCGCGTAGCTTCAAATTAATTAAACGAAAAAACAAACGCCCAAGTCAAACAACGCTCGTGCATATTTCCTCGCCTTGCCTTGACCCGGCATTGTTCATACGTTAAGGGGTATATACATACTTCTTATTTGTTTAAAAAAGATTGTCGTTGGGAAAAGAAAAAAAAAACAAAAAAAAAAACATGGCAAGTGCACAGGACAAAAATTGAATAAAATAAAAACAAATATCAAAACCAATAAATAAATGACTAAATACCAAAAATAATAAATAAATCACTTTTCCAAAAAAGTATAGGTGCGCCAATCCTGCAGGAGCAGAGTGTCCGATATCCAACCTGTTCTCCTTGC